AACTGCAATCGTACTAATTTAATTGGAATTTGCATATGGTGCAATTGCGGACTGCGTAATTTCCTTCAGCGTCCAAAACAAAGCATTCTAGAAAAAAACTGCATTGCATGGCTTGTTTTTGAAGTTGTACATGCTTGACTAACTTCAGAATTGTGCTTTTCTTCCATAAAAATGCACCTTTTGCATATTTGATGATTTTTAGCTTTCTTGCATCTCTAACTTAAATGAAAGTAATAGGCCTTGTTATAGAAAGTAAATCCTAGTCCTTGAACGTCCCTTTGTGTGAGGACTTACTTTGGTCGTGTTTGCCCTTTTTCGCCCTGTTGCTGGCGCCAATTTCGTCAATTTCTGTTTACCCTGGAGATTCACCTTGCAGTAATCCTATCAATGAGTAAGCGCGAACGTGTTTACATGTACTTCAAAATGCTAGAGGTTCAAAAGTGCACGAAGTCGATAACACCGTAATCACAAAATAATTAAATTCTTAACTTTTTCTTAGATTTTTTTCCACTTTGGTAAACACTTTCGTATCCAAATTTTTTGAAATCTAAATATCAATTTTTGATGATTTTCTTTTCAAATTGCAATATGCATGGCCCACCGCAACTGTCGTAATTTTGTGGAAATTTATTTTTTGAAAATTCCTTTTATTTGTCATTCTTTTCCTTGGCGTAGCGTTCAATGAACGAATTTTTCACAAAAATAAATTGGCAAATTTTTTGATTGCGAGAGTATATTGGTACCGTACTCTATAAGTCCCTTTGCTTTTGAAAGTCTGCAAATGCACACATATGATTTACTATTTGATAATTGTTATGTTCAAATAACATCATCAGCCTTTTTTTTGCAAACTGGTACCGCCCGTTCGTGTTACATATCCACAATTGCACAACAATCATCATAATCCCCGTAATTTTGCAGAATCGCCACGACCGGTGTGATGCCATCGGCGAACGGCGCGTTGTCGAAGCTTTTGTGCTCATGCTATCATCCGAAACAAGACGCTCGGCTTACCGAGAATGAAACAGCTGATCGTTATGAAGTTACCGAGAAAGATCATTCGGATCATGAAGAGCCAAAAGAAAAGCCGAGACGAGAGAGTACAGCGAAAGTGGAGAATCGCGACAATGAAGACGAAAAGAGGAGCGAAAAAGTGAAGAACAAAACGAACGCAATGGAACAAGAGGTGACTACACCTATTGATGAAGAGATCGCGGAAGATCAGGTATGTAATCGATCGATATATTGATTTTCTAACTAGTCAAATTTTCCTTAGTCTATTAATTCTTATGCTTGATTTCTGCATAAATCTGAATTCTTCATGATCTAAGCCTTACAAAAAATCGATAAATATCGCTTAATTTGATGAACCAGGTGGTGCCTGAAACTTTCTGACCTTCAAATAGACCGCTGTCATCAAATCAGGTCAACACGCTCCGGTGGAAGGTGGCGCAATCAGTGTTGTTCAAATCACTTTCGACCTCTCACCATCAGCTCGTTGATTTTAATGGCGTCCTCAATGATTATTGATTGATCGTTTTTTTTCCTTCTAAGTTTTTTTAGAACCTAATCGTCGCAAAATTTTCTTGTAGAAAAGAATTTGGCTTTCTTCTATTATTTTAGTCATTGACATATATATATAT